GCCTGGCAGCCGCTGCTCTGGGCCTGCCTGTATTCTATTGTTGATAAATATATTACATTTAAGTATGTCATGGACCCTGCAATATAATTGTAGTATACAATTGCTTTTCCAACCAGTTAAGAGAAGAAAGGAAAATAAATCCGTCTTTTATAATTACACAATTGCCTTAGTGCTGTACTTTCTTTTTCTACGTGGATATATGTTACCGTTTGAAGTCACTTGCTTCCTCCCTAAAAACCTCCTTTTGTGTTTTTTCTAAAGTCATTTGCTAGAAATAAAGTTTCTTCAAGTCCCCACACTGTTTCAATAAAATCAGTTCTTTGGGGAGAACTTCAGAGACAGACTGCCTCTCTCCCTGGGTAAATATCTCTGAGCCACTGCTCCTCCCTGGGCAGGGGTGGTAGCCTCTGGTCTTCCCCACTTGCCTCTCCCAGCTTGGAAACTCCTCTCTACAAGTGGGCAGAGGGAGGGTGAGCAGGCCAGGCAATCTCAGCCAGAGCCTTCACTCTGTGAGTGGGGCTGGGTGCAGGTTGGGAGCCCCAGCCTCCAGGAATTTAATCTCTGCAACTCAGTGTTGAAGGCAATGAGAAATACTGTGGCCTGCCTCTGCCAGGGACATACCTTACCCAGCTTAAAAGAGGGAGGAGGGAGCCACATCTTGTTGACCACACTCACCAGGCACCAGAAATGGAGCTTTGGTCAGACTTAACTGTATGTAAGATTAGAGTCACTCAAGGAATTAGACTGACACAGCAAGCATGCAGGAGGGAAACTAATTAGAGGGAATGGGGGAATGGAGCCACAACAGGGGAAGGTTAGCACTCAGTCTTCGCTGTCCTTGAGGTTAAATTTTATGTGCAAAACCACAGGAGGCAATAAGTGTTATAAGTGGGGGATATAAGTGTTCTATTAGTGCTTGCCCTTGAAGCTGTGGGCTGTAAGCTGCCGTTATCCTGCTGCCTCGCCCTCGGTGTGACTGCCTCCTGTTGCACCAGATAGGGTGACCGCAGGTTGTTCCATGAAAGTCCTTTTGAGACTTTCTACCCACCTGAGCCAAATGTCATTGGCTGGCCTGTCATGAACTAGTTACAAAATCCTACCCTCCCATTTTCAGAGCCTGCAGAAAGCCCTTTTATGATTGTTGAGTTACTGCTTTTTATTCAGTGCTTTCAGTTTCACATTACTCTAAACCCTTAATTTCTAGGTAAGAACTTTAGGAAGTCAGGACAGCCACGTCACATCAGAGTTTAAATAAAAGCCCAAACATCCCATCTGGTGAAAGGCAGTGAAGAAACACTACTGCAACCTACACTGAGGAGAAAAAAAAGGTAAGAACTATTTTCTCATTAAGGCAGCTTTCTCCCTATGTCTACAGGAACTGTATTCTGAGAAATAAAGTCCAGGATAAGGTTGGGGCAGGGTGGGAGAGATTTATAAGGGTCAAACATTTTCAAAAAAAACAATGAGGATGAAGATAAGATTGAAGCAGAGCCTGTGTGGGGCAGACGATGAGAACCAAACCCATTGATACCATGTGGCAGCAATCCCTAAACGTTTCTACTGGGCTTGGAGGAATTAGACAGCAGCAGACAGGGGGCTAAGCTCAGACTTTAAAATGCATTACGGTTGTCGTTCTTTTTGCCAACATTGTGTTGTCTGCAGACACAGTTAAATCACCATTGTCTTTGGTGGAACTTGTTCAATCTGCTCTGACTGCAACTGACACACTGAAAGGGCTACAGATATGTTATTTTCATGAGAAAGAAGCATAGAAAATGAGAAGCAGCATAAACAGCCACCTGACACTGTTAAAAAAGAAGAAAGGAAAACCTGAAACTCAGACTGAAAGACAAAGATTCACAGAAACACCATAAATTTTAATAATAGATGAGCTTTGTTTCACAGTGGATTACTCATTGAAAAGTAACTCAGTTGTGGTTGCCAGATGTGAGAGAGAATGGGGGCTGGGTGAAAATGGGTAAGGGATTAAGAAATACAAATTTCCAGTTGTAAACTACTCTGTTTCCCCGAAAATAAGACAGTGTCTTATATTAATTTTTGCTCCCAAAGATGCGCTAGGTCTTATTTTCAGGGGATGTCTTGTTTTTCCATGAAGAAGAATATGGTACACATTTATTGTTAAATGAAAATAAAGGAAATTTATTACCTGTATACGGTACAGTAGTACAGTAGTTGTCAACACAAACCAGACAAACTGTGAATCCTACAGTATCGAGAATTTACTCATTTATTTAATGACAATCATGTCATCATCTTCTGGAACATCATCATAACAATCCAATTCCTGAATTTCCTGGTGAATTTCTTGTGACTCCATTTCTTTCAGAATCAATAGACCAAATCTCTCATGTTTAGGCTAGGGGGGCCTTATTTTCGGGGGATGCCTTATATTTCACTCAGAAGGAAGCCTGTAAGTAGGTCTTATTTTTGGAGGATTTCTTATTTTCGGGGAAACATGGTAGTCAAAGGGATATAAAGTAAAGCCTAGAGAATATAATCAATAAGCTATAATAATAAAAGGGCAATATGCTAATTAGACCAGACATCCTTCCTGATGAATTGCAGCCAGCTCAGGTCCTGGGTGCCTGCAGGTGGCCAGAGGACAGAAGCCCAGGTCTCAGGTGCCAGAGAGATGCTGGTACTAGCAGCTGGGGGAAGGAAGGCTTACTCTTGCACACATTTTTGTTCATAGTGCCTCTAGACTATATAATGAAAGACTAAGCAACTATTACTTTGAAACAACCAGAACAATCGGTTGCTATGATGCGCACTGACCATGAGGGGTTAGAAGCTCAATGCAGCAGCTGCATCCTGGTGGTCAGTGCGCTCCCTTAGCCAACCTCCTGTGACCCTCTCCCCAGCCAGCTGGCCAGCCTCTGCAGCCCTTCCCACTCTCATCTGGCCAACCTCCCAGGCCCCTCCCCCTGGCTGGCCAATCTCCCTCAGCCACTTCCCTTGTCTGGCTGGCCCCGATCAGCACAGATTCAGACTCAGTGAGACGCTCTGAGGAGCCCTGATCGCTGGCCAGAGACCCCACCCCTGCACAAATTCGTGCACCAGACCTCTAGTAATGTAATAACTACGTATGCTGACATGTAGATACTAGACCCATAGAAGGGATCTTTTTATGGTATACGAATGTCTAACTACTATGTAGTACACTGAAACTCATATAATATTGATCATCAACTGTAATTTAAAAAATAACTATTTTTTTAAATAAAATAAAATAAAAAATAGCCCCAGTTTACTAGATGCAATTTCTTAGGGCCAACTTCTTTCTTACCCCTTGCAAGTAGAATTTGGCCCCACTACATAACTAAAAGGTTTTCTCTTTAATGAACCTGCATTGCTAAAGCCAACATTTTGTTCACCTAACCTCTCTGTGCTCTCAAGTAGAATTGCTCTTGCTTTCTGGAAACTGCCTCTGAATTCTTTGACTTTGCATGAAATTTACTCATCACCTACTTGTTTGACAACCTTCTCTCTTCCCTTTCAGCTCTTCCTCTCTCCTCCCCAGTATTCTCTCCTCTTGTATGCTTCCTGCTTCTCCTCCTCTACCAAATGGAAAAACAGAACAAAACAGAAAACCTACAAGTGTATGACTGGAAATATATTTTCATCAAACAACCTAGGCTCTCCTGACCTTTTAATTCATATTTCATAGTCTTTTGTTCCCTTACACCACACACATGTACACACAAACATGGTTTTGGACAACATTCTCTATTTGCAGTTATGCAGTCTTACTCCATTTTAGTCGGAGACTAATTTTTTATGAAGCTAATAAAGTTAATGTATAGGGAACCTTGCTTCCACATGCCCATATCAAGGCTTTGGACAGGTCCCTAGTCATGTTTTTTATACATTCATTTTTATCAAATTAGCAAATGTAAGTTTATTGATTCCACTTCCAGAATAGCAGTATAAACAGTTCTGTGAACCCTCACTTCTGCAAAATAAGATCTAGTAGAAAAAAACACACATTTCATTTCTGTGAAAAATGCTCTGCCTGTTTTTGCACAGTAGTTACAGTGTTAACCTTTGGATGAAGGATGGATTGAATGTTTGTGGTAGGGGCATATGCAAGAGGAACCAATCCAAGTGTCTGTTTCACATTGATGTTCCTCTCTCTCTGTGTCTCCACCCATGCTCCCACCCTACCTCAAAATCAATGGAAAATATCCTCCAATGAGGATTACCAACAAAAAAAAAAAATCTGTGAAAATTGTCCAAAGAGTATACATCGAATGATGAAAGATTTATTCGAAAAGTCTTTATTCATAGTATAATTAACAAGTAAATATTAAATTAAATTAACAAATAAATATTAAATAAAATATTAAATACTATATATTTCATAAAATAAAATATTAAATACTATATATTTCATACTATATATTAAATAAAATTTTAAATACTATATACTAGTATATAATATTTTATTTAATTTTTTATATTTTTTTTAAATTATTTTTTTTTATTAATTTCTAGAGAGAGGGAGATAGAAAGATGGAAACATCAATAATGAGAGAGAAACATTGATTGGCTGCCTCTTATGCATCTCCTATTGGGGATCAAGCCTGAAACCTCAAGGTTCTGAAACCTCTAGACCTCCTGTTTCATGGCCCATGCTCAACCACTGAGCCACACCAGCTGGGCTCTAGTATGAATATTTTATTGAGAATCTAAAAGGAAAGTTTTCTATGGTAAATTCAAGATTTTGTTTATGAAAGTGGTTAAATGCTGATGTCCTTGTCATAACAATATTTTTTAATGACCTCCTTCAATTACACTTCCGTAACTTTCTAAAATAATACAGATCTTCCCTTCATCCATCTTACTGTTGACACAGAACTTCTAGCCATGTTGGGGAATTATATGACTCTATCTTCTGGATCAAAATAGCATGGTCTACTGAGAATGGAAGTTCTAATCCATCCCATATCCTTGCTTGCAGATAAGGTGACACCCTGGACATGGCCTCAGACATGCACATGCCAGGCCCGGTGTGCCTCATTGAGAACACTAGCACAAAACTAGTGGTTAACCCGGAAGCTTTGAAGATCCTGTCTGCCATTGCAGAGCCTGTGGTGGTGGTGGCCATTGTGGGTCTCTACCGCACAGGCAAATCCTACCTGATGAACAAGCTGGCTGGGCAAAAAAAAGGTGAGGGGCACCAGCTAAGCTCTGCCAGATCCCTTCTCTCCACCCACACTCCCAGCTTTGAGTTCAGTGTTACAGGAAGAGTGAGGTAAAGATGGGGAGGAAAATTGAAAGCGAGGTTTTAATCTATAGTTATCCTATAGTTATCTTTACTATGATGTGAAAGAGTCAACTCACTGTCTCTTCCCACTTTCCTTAATTTTCCTTTTAAAAGCGTAATTTGTATTATTTCCCTAGAATTCTATGTTTGATATTTTTTAAAGAATCACCATATCATTTCTAACAACTCTACCATTTTACATTTCGCCCAGAAATGCACAGGACTGTAATTTATCCAAATTCTTGCCAAAACCTTTTATTTTGCTCTGTGTGTGGTGTTTTTTATTGTTTGTTTTTATTGATTTCAGACAGGGAGAGAGATATATAGAAACATTCATAATGAGAGAGAAACATTGATTGTCCACCATCTGAAAGCCCCACAAGGGGATCAAGCTCACAACCCAAGCTGAGAATTGAACCATGAGCTCCTGGTTCACAGGTCCACTCTCAACCACAAGCCACAAGCCAGGCTGTTATTTTATTTGTTTGATAGTGATAATCCTAATGGTGTCAAATAATATCTCATTGTGGTTTTGATTTATATTTCCCTGATAGCTAGTACTATTTATTATCTTGTTATGTGATTATTGGTATTTGTATTTTTCTTTAAGGAAATGTCTGTTCAAGTCCTTTGCTCACTTTTTAATTGGCTTGTTTGTTTTCTGGGGTTGCATTGCAGGACTCCTTTATATATTCTGGATATCAATCTCTTTACTAAGAATTATTTTCCCCATTCCATAGGATACCTATGAAACTCTGTTGATAGTATCATTTGAACAATGAAAGTTTTAATTTTGAATCCAACTTATCTATTTTTCTTTTGTTGATTATGCTTTTGGTGTCATATCCAAGAAATCATTCCAAATTCAATATTATGAAGTTTTCCCTCTATGTTTTCTCCTATGAAATTTATAGTTTTTGCTCTTACTTGTTGGTCTTTGAACTATTTTGGTTAATTTTGTAGGAGAGAAATCCTTTTCTCTTACACCATAGAGTGTGATGTTGGCTGAACGATTTTCAGATTTAACTTTTATTATGTTGAGTTAGTTTTCTTTTACTCTTAATTTGTTAATAGTTCTATAATAAAAAGGTGTTGAATGTTTTAATGTACTGGATTTGAATTTCCCTGTTTCTCTGTAAAATCAATACTGATTGTAGATTTTTTTATTAATGTACTAGAGGCTCGGAGCACGAAATTTTTTTCACGGGGGTTGGGTGTGTGTGGGGAGGGTGTCCCTCAGCCCAGCCTGGACCCTATCCAATATGGGACACCTCAAGGGATGTCCACTCCTACTGGGATTGGGCCTAAATGGGCAGGTGGACATCCCTCTTACAATCCAGGACTGCTGGCTCCTAACTGCTGGCCTGCCTGCTTTCCTGGTTGCCCCTAAACACTTCTGCCTGCCAGCCTGATCACTCCCTAACCACTCCCCTGCCATCATGATTAATGCCTAAGTGCTCTCCTGCCAGCCTGTTTGCCCTTACCTTCCTTCCCTTGCAGGCCTGATCTCTCCCCAACTGCTCTCCTCTGCAGGTTTAGGTCCCTCCTAACTGCCCTTTCCTACAGGCCTGATCGCCCCCAACTTCCCTCCTCTGCAAGCCTGGTCCCTCTCAACTGCCCTCCCCTGCTGGCCATCTTGTGTCCACATAGGGACAGCCATCTTGTGTGTTGGAGTGATGGTAAATCTCCATATTACTTTTTTTTTTTTTTTTCATATTTTATTGATTTTTTTTTTACATATTTTATTGATTTTTTTTTTTTTACCCCCCTCCCTCCGTCCCATCCTTCCCCTCCCTCCCCAGAGCTTTATGAACATTGGTTGTACTTATATGCATGTACACAAGTCTTTCGTTTGATCAATTATTTCCCCCAGATCTTCCTCCCCTCCCCACTGTAATTTGACAGTCTGCCTGTTGCTTTACTTTCTCTATCTGTCTCTTGGTTCATCAGTTCATAAAGAGCTTTATTGTCCACCAATGAGTGAGGTCATGTGGTATTTCTCTTTCATTGATTGGCTTATTTCACTCAGCATGATGTTCTCCAATTCCATCCAGGTTGCTGCAAATGATGAGAATTCCTTCTTTTTTATGGCAGCATAGTATTCCATTGTGTAGATGTACCAAAGTTTTTGGATCCAATCATCTGCTGACGGACACCTAGGCTGTTTCCAAATTCTGGCTATTGTAGATTGTGCTGCTATGAACATAGGGGTGCAAATATCCTTTCTGATTGGTGTTTCTAGTTTCTTGGGGTATATTCCTAGAAGTGGGATTACTGGGTCAAATGGGAGTTCCATTTTCAGTTTTTTGAGGAAACTCCACACTGTTCTCCACAGTGGTTGCACCAGTCTGCATTCCCACCAGCAGTGCACGAGGGTTCCTTTTTCTCCACAACCTCGCCAACACTTGTTGTTTGTTGATTTGTTGATGTTGGCCATTCTGACAGGTGTGAGATGGTACCGCATTGTTGTTTTGATTTGCATCTCTCGGACAATTAGTGACTTTGAGCATGTTTTCATGTGCCTTTTGGCCTTCCTTCTGTCTTCTTTTGAAAATATTCTATTTAGGTCCATTGCCCATTTTTTAATTGGATCAATCATCTTCCTTTTATTTATTTGTATAAGCTGTCTGTAGATGTTGGAGATTAAACCTTTATCAGTGGTATTATTTGCAAATATGTTCTCCCATACTGTGGGCTTTCTTGTTGTTTTGTTGATGGTTTCTTTTGCTGTAAGAAAGCTTTTTATTTTGATGTAGTCCCATTTGTTTATTTTCTCTTTAGCTTCCATTGCCCTAGGGGCAGTATCAGTGAAGAAGTTCTTTTGGCATACGTCGGAGATTTTGCTGCCTGTGGATGTTTCTAGTATTTTTATGGTTTCCCGCCTGATGTTTAAGTCCTGTATCCATTTTGAGTTTATTTTTGTGAATGGTGTAAGTTGGTGATCTAGTTTCATTCTTTTGCATGTGTCTGTCCAATTTTCCCAACACCATTTATTGAAGAGACTGTCTTGACTCCATTGTATATTCGTGCCTCCTTTGTCAAATATTAATTGAGCATAGTGATTTGGGTTGATATCTGGGTTCTCGATTCGATTCCATTGATCTATATGTCTGTTTTTGTGCCAGTACCAGGCTGTTTTGAGAACAGTGGCTTTGTAATATAGTTTGAAGTCTGGTATTGAGATCCCTCCTACTTTACTCTTCTTTCTCAGGATTGCTGTGGCTATTCGGGGTCTTTTATTGTTCCAAATGAACTTTTGGAGAGTTCTTTCTAGGTCAGTGAAATATGTCGTTGGTATTTTAATGGGGAGTGCATTGAACTTATAGATTGCTTTAGGAAGTATGGACATTTTGATGATGTTGATTCTACCAATCCATGAACATGGTATGTTCTTCCATCTCCTTACATCTTCCTCTATCTCTTTTTTCAGTGTCGTGTAGTTTTCTGCATATAGGTCCTTTACTTCCTTAGTTAAATTTATTCCTAGGTATCTTAATTTTTTTGGTGCGATGGTAAATGGAATTGTTTTTTTAGCCTCTGTTTCTGTAGTTTCGCTGTTGGTGTATAAAAATGCCATGGATTTCTTGGCATTAATTTTGTATCCTGCTACGTTGCCAAATTCATTTATTAAGTCAATTAGTTTTTTAATGGAGTCTTTTGGGTTTTTTATGTACAATATCATGTCATCTGCAAATAAGGATAACTTTACTTCTTCTTTTCCAATTTGGATGCCTTTTATTTCCTCCTCTTGTCTAATTGCAATGGCTAGTACTTCCAGAACTATGTCAAACAGGAGTGGCGAGAGTGGGCATCCCTGTCTTGTTCCTGTTCTTAGAGGGAATGGTTTTAGTTTCTGCCCATTGAGTATAATGTTGGCTGTGGGTTTATCATATATAGCTTTTATTATGTTGAGGTATGATCCTTGTACTCCCACCTTGTTAAGAGTTTTTATCAGGAAGGGGTGTTGGATTTTATCAAATGCTTTTTCTGCGTCAAGTGATATGACTATATGATTTTTATCTTTCAATTTGTTTATGTGATGTATCACGTTTATTGATTTGCAGATATTGTACCATCCTTGCATTCCTGGAATAAATCCTGCTTGGTCATGGTGTATAATCTTTGTGATGTTCTTCTGGAGTCGATTTGCTAGAATTTTGTTGAGGATTTTGGCATCTATGTTCATGAGGGATATTGGCCTGTAATTCTCTTTCATTGAGTTGTCTTTGTCTGGTTTTGGTATTAGGGTGATGCTGGCTTCATAGAAGGAGTTTGGAAGTATTCCTTCCTCTTGGATTTTTTGGAGTAATCTGAGGAGGATGGGTTTTAGTTCTTCCTTGAATGTTTGATAAAACTCTCCTGTGAAGCCATCTGGCCCTGGGCTTTTGTTTGCTGGAAGATTTTTGATAACTGTTTCAATTTCTTCCCATGTCACTGGTCTATTGAGATCTTTAGATTCTTCCTGATTGAGTTTTGGCAGTTTGTATTTTTCTAGGAATATGTCCATTTCCTCCAGGTTGTTCAATTTGTTGGAATAGAGTTGTTCGTAGTATTTTGTAACAATCTGTTGTATTTCGGTTGGGTCTGTTGTTATTTCACCTCTTTCATTTCTGATTTTGTTTATTTGGGTCCTCTCTCTTTGTTTCTTGGTTAGCCTGGCTAGAGGTCCATCTATCTTGTTTATCCTTTCAAAGAACCAGCTCTTGGTTTTGTTGATCTTATGTATTGTTTTTTTGGTCTCTATGTCGTTTATCTGTGCTCTGATTTTTGTTATTTCCTTTCTTCTGCTTACACTGGGTTTTTCTTGTTGCTCTTTTTCTAACTCTTTGAGTTGTAGAGTTAGATCATTTGTTAGCCTTTTTTCTAGTTTTTTGCAATAGGCTTGTAAGGATATGAACTTCCCTCTCAAAACTGCTTTTGCTGTGTCCCATAGATTTTGGATTGTTGTGTTTTCATTGTCATTTGTTGCCAGGATGTTTTTAATTTCTTCCTTGATTTCTCTGGTAACCCAGTCCTTGTTTAATAGCATGTTGTTTAGTCTCCATGTGTTTGATTTCTTTGGATTATTTTTATTGTAGTTAATTTCCAGTTTTATGCCATTATGATCTGAGAAGATGCTTGATATGATTTTTATCTTCTTGAATTTGAAGAGACTTTGCCTATGTCCCAAAATGTGGTCTATCTTTGAGAATGTCCCATGTGCACTTGAGAAGAATGTATATTCTGTGGCTTTGGGGTGGAATGTTCTGAAGATGTCAATTAATTCCATCTGGTCTAGTGAGTCATTTAGGATTGATATTTCTTTGCTGATTTTTTGTTTAGATGATTTGTCGAAGGGTGACAGTGGGGTATTAAAATCTCCTACTATGATTGTATTGCTATGAATTTCTCCCTTAATGTCCTCCAGCAGTTTTTTTATGTATTTGGGTGCTCCTATATTGGGTGCATATATATTTACCAGGGTTATTTCTTCTTGTTGGATTGTTCCCTTTAGTATTATGAAGTGGCCTTCATTATCTCTTGTTATGTCCTTCACTCTGAGATCTAATTTGTCAGATATAAGTATTGCTACCCCAGCTTTTTTTTCATTTCCATTTGCCTGGAAAACTTTTTTCCATCCCTTCACCCTCAGTCTGTGTGCATCTTTTTTTCTGAGGTGGGTTTCTTGTAGACAACAGATGTATGGGTCTTGTTTTCTTATCCAATCTGACACCCTATGTCTTTTGATTGGAGCATTTAATCCATTTACATTTAAGGTTATTATTGATAGGTACTCATTTGACGCCATTTTTATTTTATACCCCTGTTCCTTCTTCACTTCCTATTTCTTTATATTTACAGTAAACCCTTTAGCATTTCTTGCATTGCTGGTTTGGTGGAGATAAATTCCTGCAGTCTTTTTTTGTCTGTGAAGCTCCTGATTTCTCCTTCAATTTTGATTGATAGCCTTGCTGGGTACAGTATTCTTGGATTCAGACCCTTCCTTTGCATGATTTTGTATATTTCATCCCATTCCCTTCTGGCCTGATATGTTTCTGTTGAGAAATCAGTTGCTAGTCTGATGGGGGTTCCTTTGTATGTAACTTTCTGTCTCTCTCTGGCTGCTTTTAAGATTCTTACTTTGTCGCTGTTGTTTGCCACTTTAATTATAATGTGCCTTGGTGTCTGTCTTCTGGGATTCATTTTGCTTGGGACTCTGCGAGCATCTTGGATTTGTGTGGGTTTTTTCTTCTCTATCTCAGGAAAGTTTTCAGTCATTATTTCTTGAAATACTTTTTCCATGTCTACTTCAGTTTCCTTTCCTTCAGGAACCCCTATTATTCGAATATTATTTTGTTTTGTATTGTCCCAAAGCTCCCGTAGACTCTCCTCCTGCTTTTTTAATCTTTTTTTCTAGAAGCTGCTCTAATTGGGTATTTTTTTCCAACTTGTCTTCTAGCTCGCTGATGCGGTCCTCTGCTTCATCTAGTCTACTCTTGATGCTTTCTATTGAGTTCTTCATGGTAGCGATGTCATTTTTTATTTCTTCTTGGTTCTTCTTCAATTCTTCATGGCTCTTCTTCCATTCCTCATGGTTCTTCCTCATTTCTTCTTGGTTATTGTCAAATTTCTCTTCCATTCTTTTTAGCCAACCTATGATCATTATTCTGAACTCTTGTTCTGGTAGGCTGCTTGTCTCTGACTGGTTTACTTCCTTTTCTGGTGATGCCTGCTTTTCTTTCATGTGCGGCATATTTTTTTGTCTTCCCATGGTATCTCTTTTTTCAGGATGTCTGGTTATGTGGTATTCCTTCCCTTGCGTTGATTTAAAGGTGCAAGATATAACACTTAGTATGATGACCAGTTCTGTCTTTTGTATCCATTCTCTCCCTCACTCCTGGGTCCTTTGCACCTTCATGTACATATTCTCAAATCCATATTACTTTTTTATTAGATTGGATAGAGGCCTGGTGAGGGCCAGCTGGTTTGCCTTGAAGGGTGTCCCAGATCAAGGTGGGGGTTCCCTTAGGGATGGGGTAGCCTAGGCTAGGGGCCTGTTGTGGTTTGCAGACTGGCCACGCTCCCCTGTGATCCAAGTGGAGGCGGTGGTATCTGGGGTTTATTTATCTTCTACAATTGAAACTTTGTAGCCTGTAGGAGAGCCAAGCCTTTTGCTTGTTCTGTGGCAGCAGCCATTTCTTTTGGGATTTATGTATCTTCTATAATTTAAACTTTGTAGCTTTAAGCCAAGGTATGGGCCGGCCTGGGCCGTACAGGGGTGTGCTGAAAACTTGGCTTCCTCCATCATCAGGGGCAACCCTAGCCTCCTGCTCTTATAGCTGCCTGGCTGCCGTCATTTCTGTTTGGATTTATGTCTATTCTATCATTGAAACTTTGTAGCCTTCAATGGAAGCCCAGGTGAGCAAGAGCAGATGGAAAGCTTGGCTTCCTCCATCGCCAGGGAAACCCAAGCCTTCCTCCTGCTCTCTATGGCCATAGCCATCTTGGTTGGGTTTATTTGCATATTTGCTTCTGATTAGCTGGTGGGCATGGCTTGTGAGTGTAGTGTAGTGTTGATTAATTTGCATATTACTCTTGTATTACATAGAATTTTAATTGATTTCAGAGAGGAAGGGAGAGGGAGAGAGTTAGAAACATCAATGATAAGAAAGAATCATTGATCGGCTACCTCCTGCACACTCCACACTGGGGATGGAGCCCATAACCAGGGCATGTACTTTATCCCATCGTGGAACCATGACCTCCTAGTACTTAGGTCAACACTCAACCTCTGAGCCAAGCCAGACAGGCCATTGCTTATAGTCTCTCATTACCTTGATTATGTTCTCATTTATCTTCATTTTAAGACACATCTGCTATGAAAACTCAACTCCTTCCCTCTTCTGTCCCCCTGAAGGCTTCTCTCTAGGCTCCACGGTTCAGTCTCACACCAAAGGCATCTGGATGTGGTGTGTGCCTCACCCTAAGAAACCAAACTACACTCTAGTTCTGCTTGACACTGAGGGCCTGGGAGATGTAGAGAAGGTAAGCATTGAAGATTTAATTTGGACACAATCCCCTAATTTCTGGGTATTGACTACACTATTTAATATTTTTACTTCATTTTCTTAATTTTATTATTTTAATTTTTATTCAAATAAGAGCTGGCACAAACCATATGTATTTTTTTCATTTCTGATTCATGCTAAGAGACTGGTATAATATCAGGTATAATAAAAATATCAGGTATAATAAAAATATAAGGCAGAATCCTAGAAGAGCATAGTGGTCATTAGATAGTATTCTAATTATTAACAAGAGCCTATAAGCTAAATCAGTTAGCACAGCTGCATAAAGGTACTACAAAAAAAATCAGCCATGAATTCTGTCCTACAGAAAATTTTAATTAAGAAGACCTAAACTGTTGTGGGGATGTAAACGCTGTCATTAACACATTGGCTTTAGCAAATTATTACACTTCTTTTAACTTCAGCTTTCTGATCTGTAAAAGTAATGTAAACAGTCTATATTTGCCTCATAGTATTGTTTTGACTATCTAATAAGAATAGAAAGTGTTAGGTGAACAATAATGACTAGATATAATAGGTACAAGTATTATTACTCTTACATAAGTCAATTTTGGTGTAAAACATAGAGAAAGCCAAATTACATTTAAACTTTAGAGTGCCCACCAATCTGAACTACAGTATTTCTTTTGCAATTATCTGCCAATGGTCATAAGAGGTCTTAGTGAGAATATGTGTAACCAAAAATAATAATCAGAAGAGTAGTCAAAGTCCAAGTCCTATTAACAATCATTTTCTTTTAGGTTTGTTTTCTTCTTAGAAGACATTAATCTAAAAAAAAGAAGCCACTGGACTAAACCAGAATCCATTTACTACTGCTGATCTGGAAAGTGCCATGAGAATAAAACATAATCTTGGCCCAAATGTGTTCTGATTTCCAGGGTGACAACCAAAATGACTCCTGGATCTTTGCCCTGGCAATACTGCTGAGCAGTACCTTTGTGTACAACAGTATGGGGACCATAAACCAGCAGGCCATGGACCAACTGCAGTATCCTTTTTGTGATCCAGAACAGCATCAAAATCAGAGGGTAGGTGCCAAGAACAAATTCCAGCTTGTAATAATTACAAAAGTTTCGCCAAAATGTTGGTGAAGCTTGGGCAGCTCAACAATGGCTGAGGCACTTCCCTCAAACCTGAATAGGATTATTGTTAACTGCCAGACAGCTCAGGATATTTTATTGCCTCTTGTTGGTCAAACACGAGAACAGCTGTAGGCTATTCCCCAAACTGACAAGGCTTCTCTACCCTTTGATACCATACCTTTGAAGTACATTATCTCCACCTTGCCTTAGGACAAATTGTGTTGAATAAAAGCAGGGTCCTGAGTGAAGGAGGAGTCTCCAGTTCCCTTTAGCTGAAGCTCCTGTGACCTCCAATGCCTTTCAAAAATATCTTTTTTTCATCTTTGGACTCCTCTTGAATCTACACACAGCCCTTTTCTCCAGAATGCTGAACCCTTTATAAGGCTGGTAAAACAACCCCAGGAGGAAGCCCTGTACTTAAAAGCCAGCTCCCAGAATGTGAATCCTGGTGAATCAAGCACAATAAGAGAAAGTATAAAAAATAACTCAAGTGCAGGAAGAAATAACACTTGAGTTAGAAACAAAGCAAAAACAAAAGTTTGGAATATGTAGGACTAAATGGGATGAGAAGCACTGTTCAGTTACACCATTTTCCTTAGTTTGCTACTCAGCTATGTGACAGAGCTGACAAAAAAAATAAGGGCAAAATCTTCACCTGATGCAAATGAGGATGAGGACTCAGCTGACTTTGTGAGCTTCTTTCCAGATTTTGTGTGGACACTGAGGGATTTTTCCCTAAATTTGGAAGTAGATGGGCAACCCATCTCAGCAGATGAGTACCTGCAGAATTCACTCAAACTCAAGCAAGGTAAACGGGACCTAGAACTGATTATGGGGAACCACAAGCCATGAGAAACCATCATCTCTTTTTTTTTATTTAGTGTTTTTACATGTATAGTTTTCTACTTCTTCTCAGCTGCCAAGTTCTAAGAATTAATTTTGAATTATCTTCTCCACTGTTCTAAGAACAAATTTCTTTTTCTTTCACCTTTCCCTGTACTGCTATCAGTTTGATTTTTATCTCCCTGCTTAGGGCTTGTGATGCTGAAATTAGCCAAAGAATATGGAGTAGAGTAGGCATTTATTTAAAGAGATTATATTAAAGCATAACAATGTGCTAGGCCAGGGGTTGGCAAACTATAGCCCCACAGGCAAATGATGGGCAATGCAGCCTGCCAGCTCTCTTAAAAAAGTTTTTACTGGGTGAATACTATGTAGATAGTCCATATCTGCTTTCATGCTATAATAGCAAAATTGAATACTTGGAAAAGAAACCACTTGACCTGAAAGCGTAATATATGTACCATTTGGACATTTACATAAAAAGTTTCCAAGCCCCTATATTAAACAAAGCTCCCCCCCCTTTTTTTTTAATCTTTCTACAGTTCCCAGTCCTAAAGATGAAAAGTTTAACCTGCCCCGACTCTGTATCCGAAAGTTCTTCCCAAAGAAGAAATGCTTTCTCTTTGATCGGCCCACTCATCGGAAGAAGCTAGGCCAACTTGAGACAATGCATGATGATGAGCTGGACCCCGAATTTGTGCAACAAGCTGCTGACTTCTGTTCCTACATCTTTACCAATTCCAAAGTCAAAACTCTTTCAGGAAACATCCAGGTCAATGGACCCCGTGAGTCTTCTTCCCAGTCATTACTCTCACTGTTAAGGCTAAAGGAAGGTGGAATAGCATCCATCTAATTTCAGACTTGAAAAATGCAAATATACTACTATTACTGTGGTACATTCTGGATGACACATTTTTAAAAATATATATTTTATTGATTTTGTACAGAGAGGAAGGGAGAGAGATAGAGAGTTAGAAACATCAATGAGAGAGTCATCGATCAGCTGCCTCTTGCACACCCCCTACTGGGGATATGCCCGCAACCAAGGTTCATGCCCTTGATCGGAAACGAACCTGGGTCCTTTCAGTTCCCAAGCCAACGCTCTATCCATTGAGCCAAACCGGTTTAGGCTGGATAACACATTTTTAATAGATTTTATTAGACAGATTTTGTGGGTAACAATAGATAGAAAAGGACAAGTAAAAAAGCTCTATTGCTTAAAATTGCCCTAATAACCTGGACCTGTACTATCACATATAATAGCTGCTAGACAAGTGTAGTAGCTTCATATAACTAAACTTACATGTAGAATAATTAGAATTAAAGAAAATTTAGAATTCTGATTACATGTCTAGGGGCTGCATTATTTGTCAGCACATATAGCACATGACCATCATCACAGAAAGTTCTCTTGGACAGTATTCTTCCAGAATGAATAAAATGGAGGACTCCTTTTTAAATTTATTTTTAGTTTTTTAATCTTCAGCCAAGGAAGTTTCCATGAATTTAAGAGAGAAATATCAATGTGAGAGGGAAACATTAATCAGTTGCCTCCTGCATGTGCACCAACTGGGATTGAACCTAGGTGTGTGCCCTGACCAAGAATCACATCCACAACCTTTTGGAGCATGGGACATGCTCCAACCAACTGAGCCACCTGGCCAGGGCAGAGGACTTCTTTTTAATTGTTTCACAAATATTCATTTTATAAATGCTTATTACAGACCAGAACTGATGATAGAGACATGAATGAGACGTAGATTTTAGGTCCTAATGGTGCTTAAGAGTAAAGCACATGCACTCTATAAATACAAGTCTATGGGGCCTAGAACAGAAGTTCTCATCCTTTGATGTGGAACCCTATCACCCAAGATCTCGCCAGAGGAGGATTTAATTCAGTTCATCTGAAACAGAGGCTGAGATTCTGCATTTTTAACAAACTTCTAGGTGATGCTGAGGACAAATGAGTATTGAGACATTACCACCAGATGTAAAGAAGATGGACTGTTTTCTCACCTCACCTACAACAAATGTCATCTTTTGTTCTCTATTTGTAGGGCTGGAGACTCTGGTGATGACCTATGTCGATGCCATCAGCAGTGGAGACCTGCCCTGCATGGAGAACGCAGTCCTGGCCTTGGCCCAGATAGAGAACTCGGCTGCAGTGAAAAAGGCCATTGCCCACTATGACCAGCAGATGGGGGAGAAGGTTGAACTGCCCACAGAAACCCTCCAAGAGCTCCTGGACCTGCACATGGCCAGTGAGAAAGAGGCCATTGAAGTCTTTATGAAGAATTCTTTCAAGGATGTAGACAATTTATTTCAAAAGGAATTAGCGGTAATTTTTTTCTTATGTTTATATGTATTAGGGCAGTGGTCGGCAAACCCTGCCTCTCGAGCCACATGTGGCTCTTTGGCCTCTGGAGTGTGGTTCTTCCAGAAAATACCACATGTGCACACTCACGTACAGTGCAATTGAAGGAGTACCCTAATTAAGTGAATAATAATGTACCTACCTATATACTTTAAGTTTAAAAAATTTAGCTCTCAAAAATTTGAATTGTTGTACTGTTGATGTTTGGCTCTGTTGACTAATGAGTTTGCCAACCACTGGATTGTGGTCTCAGAAAGCAAAGTACTACTAGAAAACAAAACAGTTATTTATCAGGAGAAAAGGAATTTCTACAAGACTGCAAAATGATAAAAAAAACAAAAAAAAAAAAAAAACACTATTTGTTATTAGTATAGTAAGAAGAACCAATTTTATTTTGATTGACTTAAAGTTTGAACTTCTTTTTTCTTTAATGCATAAACTAACAATCTTTCTCATGATTTATATAAATGCATGCAGGTAATCATTAGAGCTTTTCAGCAAGTTACATGCTTGTTGTTATCAGACAATTTAATGTTGTAGCCCAGTGGTCAGCAAACTGTGGCTCACCAGCAACATGTGGCTCTTTGGCCCCTTGAGTGTGTCTCTTCCACAAAACAACCCAGCCTGAGCAAGTCTATTTTGAAGAAGTGGCATTAGAAAAACTTTAACTTTAAAAAATTTGACTCTCAAAAGAAATTTCAATCTTTGTACTATTGATATTTGACTCTGTTGACAAATGAGTTTGCTGACCACTTTATAACCAATAGAAAGAAAAAAAAAAGATGTAGTATAGTTATATTGAGCAGGCTTACATTGAGTGACATTGCTTCCATTTGCAATTGCTGTTCAAATCTGAAAGCAGAAGTTTCTTTCCAAAGGTTTATGTGTAGGAATAGAGAACCTAGTCCTGACCTATGTCAATGCCATCAGCATGGGGGCCTACCCTGCATGGGGAATGCAGTCCTGGCCTCGGCCCAAATAGAGAACTCGGTTACAGAGCAAAAAAGCCATGGCCCTCTATGACAGGCAGATGAGTAACATAAATGCTAACATAAATCTAGCAATCTCTGCCATGAACTTCACCTCCAAGGAGAAAGGGACTTCAGTAGAAAGACAGGATCAGGAGAAAGGATGTGGTCCTGCAAAGGTGCCTGTAAGTTTTTGCAGGATCACAGACTGGTTTTGGAGAAGCCTTTCCAAAAATCCTGAGGTTGAGCTAACATTTCCTCTGTACTCTTTCTACTTCCTATTTTCATATTAAAGGCCCAGCTAGAAAAAAGGCGGGAAGACTTTTATAAAGAGAATATAAAAGCATCATCGGATCGCTGCTCAGCTTTACTTAAGGATATCTTCCATTCTTTAGAAGAAGATATAAAGCAGGGGGTTTATTCTAAACCAGGAGGATATCGTCTCTTAATGCAAACTGTGCATGAGCTCAAGAAAAAGTATCTTCAGGAACCCAGGAAGGGAATACAGGTAACCAGCATTTATCTGTCTCTCTGTTCCACCCTTTAACCCCACACTTCCCTTTCTCTCAGTCTCCCACCACCTCCTTTCCTTGGGTCTTGGGTCTGCTCTCCCCATGATGGCTTTATCCTCCCTCCATGTGAAATCACAGCACCAATAGCTCAAAAAGTATAGCCTTCACACCATAAGAGACACTCTCAATCTGTATTTATACCAATCTCTTATAAAGGAGTCTGCTTCATCGGGTGCTAGGCCTGGCCAACCTGGAACGTGTGCCCACACCCTATGACAGGGGCACCTTGATAAGTGCAAGGAACAGGGCCAAACGAAGTGATTCCTACAAGAAAAAATGGAATAAGCGCCTCCAGCGATTTCCTATCACTAATGCCATTTTATCGGTGTCCTAGAATGAAGAAGTCCTTCAGACATACCTGAGGTCCAAGGAGTCTGTAATTGATGCAATTCTACAGACAGACCAGACTCTCACAGTAAAGGAAAAGGAGATCGAAGGTGAGGAGCAAGTCAAGAGACTAGATAGCCTCAACAGCTTTTAAAGGTTTAAATAATTTGGCTTGGAGAACCTGGGGTCCTTAAACAAAAGCCAGATGAGCAAAGATGCCTACTACTAGCCAAAGTCAGTCTCAGTGGGCAAATGCTCTCAGCAGCAACAATGACAGGTGAGTTCACAAAGAAGAAACAGCGAGGTGGTCACCCACATGAATTTGTCTTCTTCCTTTCCTCCTGGCAGTGCAACGTGTGAAAGCTGAATCTGCAGAGGCTGCAGCAAAAATGCTGGAGGAAACGCAAAAGAAGAATCAGCAGATGATGGAGGAGAAAGAAAAGAGTTATCAGGAACATGTGAAACAACTGACTGAGAAGATGGAGCAGGAGAGGGCCCAATTAATTGCAGAGCAAGAGAGGACTATGGCTCTTAAACTTAAGGTATGTAATGATATCACCTTGAGGTTTCTCTTTTCTGTTTTGTGTCCACCCTCCCAGACTTGTTTGTGTGTCTATTAGAATAGAAAAACCCTAAGGATCTTACTTGCCCACTTATATCTTTCAAACCCTGTCTGTCTCCCTGATTTGAAGCCTGCCTACATCTGATTATTTAACAAAATTTA